TTCCTCCGCACCTTTTAACGAGACCCCTCTCATTTTCTTTGCCAAAGCTTCTTAATCGACAAGCAAATTCTCAAATTCAACAAGTGATGGTTAGGTCGGCCATCCTTGTACAGCGGCAACGAAGCCTTAATATTTGGGTCTCAATCCATGGATAATTATTCTTTTTATCCTGGATTCTACAATGGCAACACTAGGATCTAACTTAGAAATTTCACGGCAAATAGACTTTACCTGATGGAAATACTGGGCAATCGTCATGTCCCTTTGGACCACTGATAATAGCTTATTCTCGAGAAGCTGCAGTCATGTATCGTTCTTCTTTGAAAAGAGTGTGGTGAAGGTGTCCCACATTTCTTTCGGTGTCTTAGACTTCCATATATGCTACAACATGTCATCATCAACTGTAGTTTTTAAGGCAAATATGGCCTTACCTGCCTTGATCTTCCACTTTCGCAAAGTGCCGCTGGTGTCTTCTTCCGGCTACGTAACTTCATTACTGCCGACAATATCCCAAAGATCTTGGCCTTGTAGGTAAGACTCAACGCACGTCGCCCATGTGTTGTAATTTTTGTTATTAAGCTTCTTGATTCCTCCAACAACTTGAAGATCTCCCATCGTGTCGACAGAACTTCGATAAGCAGAACAAGACTAGTCAACAATCTTGCGAAGTACTAAACTTCTCACGATTCTGGGAAGCTTCACTAGAGATGGTCCCCTGATTGTACCGCTCTAATACCAATTGTTGAGGAAAAATTAGAGTACACAACTCTAACACAAGTGTTGGAGAGACAACATAAGTAAACAAATTACTTATATTACACACACAAAATATTACAACACTCAAAACTCTCAAAGACACACTTTAAAAGCTATGACACTCACTTTTTCTAGAGACACACTCTAGACCACTCACGCTCCTCACAAGACTACTCTTCTCACTCTCACTTGGTTGCCTTCTTGCTTGCTTACTCTCTTCTTGATTCTTATTGGTTGATACAAATGGTATGGCATGGTTGGAACCTTGGAGAAGCATGGAAACACCATGCTAGACTATATAATTCCACTACCTTCCTAAGCTAGAATTATCTACACTAATCTTGCATGTGGTGGAATCGAACTTTGCTGAATTTTATAGCATGTGCCTGGAGACTAGTGCACTTTTATCGATTTCTATCTGTTGTACTTACAAGCTTTGACACATTGTTTAGGCTTGGCTGCAAGGTGAACAGCCCTTTTATTGTGGACAGAGTTGAAGCGAGAGGAACACGAACGCGGCTGCTAAGAAGGCTGCTGGCGGAGACGCAGACGAAGAGGATGAAGATTGAATAACACTAGTGATCACCCTCGCAATCGCCGCCGTCATCCACCATTCCACTACCCAGTCACCCGCCGAGTTCCAACCCCAATCTCTCTCCAACTAGGCCAAGTCTACCATCAAAACCGTCTGCAACGTAACTCGGTACCCCGCCTCGTGCTTCACCTCCATATCCGTCCCCAACCGCTCTCCAAATCCCGACCCAGAAGCCATTTTCAAGCTCTCCCTCGAAATCTCCGCTGCCGAGCTCACCCGCCTCTCGGCGCTGTTGATGACCGTGAACTCCGATGCGGCAACCCAGGACTGCGTTTCTCAGCTGGGGGAAGAACCGGGTCAACGACTCGGCGTCCGCGATGAGGGTGGGCCCGGGAGAGAAGGCGTTGACCTGAGATAAAGTCAACGACATACAGACGTGGATAAGCAGCGCGGTGACGGATCAGGAGACGTGCCTGGATGGTTTGGAGGAGATGGGATCGACGGCTGTGGATGCGGTGAAGAGCGAGATGAAGAAGTCAATGGAGTACAGCAGCAACAGCTTGGCAATTGCCGCCAACTTTAAGGGAATTCTAGACAAGTTCAATATATTCCCCTCCACTAATTTTTTAAATTAAAAAACTGTTATCAGAATTTCAAAAATCTTATTTTTTCTAATTATAAAATTTTTGGAGTTCAAAATGAGAATTTTATAAAAACTCCTTACGATAAGGATAAGTAAAGTAAATTATCTTTCTAATTTAGTTAAAAATGTGGTTTTTTTAAAGTGATAAAAGTAAGATTTTTTAGAGTACCAATAACAATTCCCTAAATTAATTGTATAAAAAAAAATGAGAGGTGTTAAATGTTTTCCGTTTGATTTTTCTTCTTCAATTATAAATGAAGTTCTTTTGTTGTATGATTTGTGTTTTTCATTTATTGATATATTTGCATTTGCTCAGTTGTGAAATTTGAAATGTATGTATGAACAAAATGTAAATATTTACATCCAACGGTCTGGTGATATTCATTTTCGCTTAGAAGTAAGAGGTCTTAAATTCGAATCTCATGAATGGCGAATTTGGTACCAAATTAAGCCGCCCATTACGTGGGTTAGCCAAACTCTCTCTTCTTCTAGTGTAAAAATATCAATGTACTCAAAAATAAAAATAAAAATAAAAAACTCTTTTGTGTTGCAGTCCTATTGGAATAGGAATGTGATTGTGTAAATCATAATAGATATGGGAATGTATCTTATATTCCTATTAGGAGTAGATTACCTATTAAATGTTGTAATTATAAAGGGAAAGGTTTTTACCTATCCTACTACTATAAATAAAGGCACAATGGGGGTGGAATAGAACACACCCACAATTACACATCTCTCTTTTTCTCTCTATCTATGTCGCACCTCTCTCTTTCTGGCTTCCATAATTGTTCAGTAAATTATGCCTACAACACGTTATCAGCACGCACTTGACACTGCGCTACTAAGAGAATTTATTCTTCAATTTGGGGAGTATTACGTTTTAATCATTCTTTTTGTGGTTAACTTATTATTTTATTGGATTGATATACATGCTATTGATTCAATTTAATTTTTCTATGTTGCAGATACAACGCATTGGAGATGCAATTCAGGCTTTCCAAGATGGATCTTCTACAAATTCAAAGGCTTTTATTTGTTTTCTGCCAATCAGGTACGCTTAAAATAAAGTAAGATATTTGAAACGACCTTGAAGCATGAAAACATTTCCCATGATGCATGAACCCCCCTATATTTATATTTTCCTTCCAATATATATATTGTATATGTTCATATATTTGTCAATATATATATTTGTTTCATGCATTACGCAAATTTTGTTATGTGGAATTTGTGAGTCAAAGAAACGAAATAAAATAGAAGCATATTTTTTTTGGGTTCTGAAAACCCTAATACTAAAATCTGAAAAAAAAATAAAGAAAAAAGGGGAACTAACCTCACCGACCTGCTTGGGTTTTACTGCGTGTGCAAATCAGGCCCTAGGCCTGGGTTTGACTTGCTGGGCCTATGCCCTTTCAAACACATAGAGCCAGCGTTTTTTTCGCTGGGCTTTCTCACAATCCAGCTCGCGCCAGACCGAGCCAGCCTGTGCTGGGCTTGTCCCGAGAACTCGGCTCAACCACTTCGGCCAGGGTTTCTTCTTCCCTTTGCTGTTGGGCTGTTCCTCTTAGCCCGTGACTGGAGCAAGCCTGCAAGCTTGTTTGTGCAGATTGATGGGCTGCTTGCAGCTGCCTTACAAGAGCCCAGCCCAAGGCCTAATGCTGCAGGACCTTGTCTAAAGCAGCAGCCAGCACTTTCAATGCTGGGATGCCCTTGTTTCTTGGCCCAAAGCCATTTTTTGGCTTTTTTTTTCAGCCCGCACCCATAATAATAATAAATAAATAAATATTTTGGTGCCCAATTTCACAGCCTTAACCAATTTTAGGGTGTTTCTTTTGTATGGCCTGCAGCCATCTAGCCCAAAAATATGGCTTGAAAGTTTCCCATATCTACTAGGTTTTAACGAGGCATCCATCATGGCCTGATCATACCCTTGTGAGTTATTCTACTTGCGTCCAAAAGACGTATAGTTTTGACTTAATGCAAATTCTCACATTTCTCCTTAGACTATGGGTTTTACCATAGCGAGGTTTTGTGAGTTTTACTTTTTATGCATTCTTCTGTTGATCTGAGACTTGCATTCGCTCATTGTGCCGACGACTTCATCAACTATACTTGCTTCATCACTGAAGACTTGATGCGCCATTTACTTGAGTATTTACACACTCAAGGGGGAGTGTTGCAGTCCTATTGGAATGAGAATGTGATTGTGTAAATCCTAGTAGATATGGGAATGTATCTTATATTCCTATTAGGAGTAGATTACCTATTAAATGTTGTAATCCTAAAGGGAAAGGTTTTTTCATATCCTACTACTATAAATGAAGGCACCATGAGGTGGAATAGAACACACCCACAATTACACATCTCTCTCTCTTTCTCTCTATCTATGCCGCAACTCTCTTTCTCTGGCCTCCATAATTGTTCAGTAAATTATGCCTACAACATTTTGGAATTAACTCTGATATATGTGGTTAATAATCTTAAGCTTTTAATAAGGTAGGTTCCTCTCCGTTGCGGGATTGGGAGTCGTAGTGTGACTGCTACTTGTATTTCTCTTTGCCGGTTTCAATAAATTACTATCTTCCCAAAAAAGGGTTTCTATTCCTATTGTGTGAGCTGTCACTCTTTGTGATGACTTAAGTTTGTTATTCTGAAAAAAAAAGATATTTGGGTGGAAGCGGGATTCTAAGTTGGCGATTAACCATGTCATAGATATATGTAAAACTCAAGAAGACTTTGCCGTCAATGAATTGAAGGAACACTAAAATTTTAGTTTATAAACAGCTTATTACCAGTTTAATGTTCCAACTGTATTTTAATTTTAAAAATTTTAACATTTGTACCAAATTATGGAGTTATCTAACAGTAATAACCAGACTTTACCATTTCAACTTTATACTCCCCTGATTGAAACAGGTTCAGATCCATTTTAGCTGACAATGGTGATTGCTTTCATTTTCTTGTTTTCACTCCTAATCATTGAATGATTGATTTATGATACTAAATATTGTAAATCCAAGACATTGCTTCTGGTCAGTATATTGCAGCAAATCACGATATATGTGGAACCAAAAATTATTTTAATATTTAGTTTGGAGCTAGATCAATGACTAGATACCATTTTAACAACACATAAGATATCAGAAGGTACACTGAAGATTACAAACATATATACACAGATATATATATATATATTATATATATATATATATATATATATATATATGCATTCCTCATATATATAATCTCTCACTGGTTGGATAGTCCAACCAAAACTTAACTCATGTAATTAAAATTGCTAGCCTAGAGAGAGAGAGAGCGATTATTAATGCTGCAAAAGTCTTCTAATAAGCTCTTCATCAACATCAGAGATGCCTGCAGAATCCAGGAGTTGAGATATTCTTTGGCTCAGATCTTCCACCTCCCTATGCAGCCTCTTTATGTAACTGCAAGTTTCTTCCAAAATGCTCGACGCCGATACCTGCGTAAAATTTGAAACCGTCAGAATTCCATTTGTGATAAAAACCCTAAATATAGAAAAACTCCCAATAGTTTGCCTTAGGTACAAATGCATGCATGACTATCTCCCTAGGCGCGTACCGGAGCATTACGCGTATGATGAAGCTGAGGAAGAAGAGGTTGTAATTTTGAGATGAGCTCCTTAATCTCATCATCTGAGGGTTTAGAAGTTCTTGATGATGATGATGATCTTCTGCTTGACATGGCTGGTTGAAGAAGCACTTTTGCTTATTTTCTGCTTATAGCTTTTAGCTTCTTTACACTATCAAATGGTAGGAGGGAAGTTTTAAGTACGACGCCAAAGCTGCTTAAAAAGAGTGGGAAGGCAAGGTGGAGACACGAATCTTTTTAGTATGGGAAAACGAGGTCGAGACACAAATCTTTTTAGTAAGAATAAGCCAAGGTTCTAAAAACCGCTAGTGCTAGTCAGATAGCAAACAAGAGCTTAGATGTTTTTTTTTAATTTTAATTAAATTTATTATATAATAATAAAAACATATAAATAAGTGACTACAATTGATTGAATAGATGCTTGTGATTGCACTTTCGTTCCCCTAAAGCCGTCATTGGACCCGCCTAAGCTGTTTTTTAGAACCGTGCGAATAAGACACCAACGATGTTGGTATGTCGTTGAGGCCCCATTTGAACAACATTTTGGCACTACAAGTTTCTCATTTCTTGGTTAAAAAGAATCATCAAAATGTTATTTAGTATTATACGGTCTAGTGATATTCCTCTTCACTTGTAGGTAAAAAGTTTTAGATTCGATTATCGCTAAAGGTGAATTTGAACCACATTATTTATAACCAATTGTAAAACTTAACCTATTCTCCCACTCTTTTAGTATAAAAAATGTCGTTTGTTAAAAAAAAAAACATCATCAAAATAGCCAAACACCTTCACATGGTTTTTAATTAGGGCATCGCATCTAATCCCATTTGGACAAGAGGCCTATTTTAGTTTGTTAATCACCCCGTTTAATGTTAGATGTTACATACTACCAAAAGATACTTTATGATTAAGGTCGATGGGGTTTCTTTGTTTCATGCATTGCCTTTCTATCTTTAATTATTATTATTTTTGTTTTTTTTTCGGATTCTTTCTCCTCTCTTGTCTACTGAAAACACTTTGTTTAATTTGGTTTTGAAGTTGGGAAATATTGTGGAAAAAAAACGCTTTTGAAATCAGTGAGTTGGTTAAACATCACAGTACAGTGATGCTCTTCATGTTTTTATTTCAGGAAAAACAAAAACATAGAAAAATAAAAAAGGTCGTAAACTAAAAATGTATGTCGAGTCTTACACTAGTTGGGAGACCAATAATTTTAAAGGATAGTAAGTTTGGTAGACATGATTAATTTCTTGTTTTAAACATGTCACGTCGGGCTTATAACATCAACGGTAGAACCATTCACGTAAAAATTGCAGTCTCCCCTTCCTCCATGCTGCTAAATGATAATAATATCTCGAGAAATATGATCGAGCCAACTAATCGTAGTAGTTGAGTTATTGTTATTAAATAGTGCAACATTGTAGCAAATCTTATTCGCTAGCCCAAACAAGCCTGTATGATTGGCTATGTTTTTAATCTCTCTATTATTATGATTATTGATATGAGCAATTTCTTTTAACTTAGGAACAATCCCATCAGCGTGATCATATGCAGTCCAATCACAGTCTTTGCCCATTTTTTTCCCGAAGAAAATGTCATATGGTAAACCAAAGTTCAACAATATTTAGATTGTAAAACCCTAAATTTGTTGACTGGTGCATTTACTTTGATTATGATTGTGCAGTAGACAGATTAAGAGAATGAGCGAATGCCCCGTGAGGTAATTTTATTAGAATTTAATTACTCACCGACCAAACTAACTCAAGGAAAAATAAGATTTCTAACAGCAGTAATATATAGAACTCGAATGGTGATTTTGAAGGCGTTGGAACTGTAGGTTCTATGATTAAGTCGGCGAGATATACAAGAATGTACATGCAGCATGCGATGGGTAAGTTTTCTCGCGAAGTGATGTGACAAAGCAAGCACAAGTGGGCGAGTGACTAAACTAAACAGACATGCTTATGAAGGCGCCACCTGAGGTGGTGAGGAATTGGCCTGGACAATGCCAAGAAATTGCTCTTTGGCATTATTTACCAACCCTCCTCATTTTGGACCCTAAATTTCCCGTACCCAAAACTCAGGTACAGTACCGTCTCAACACTAACATGCTCTGCATCTTTCACGTGGCACTTCCATGAGGACGACTGCCCTACGTGTTGCCCTTATCCTATGCATTGTATAGGGCAGGGCCAACATGCATGACTGGTTAATTGTAGCGTGCAGAAGATACAGTGCAGTAGAATGTCCTTCGAGCTAGCACAGTAAAAAAAACACAGTAGGCCAGGTAACCCTAAACCATGAGAAGTAATTGCAATTCTGGCTAGGGCATACGTCCTAAACGATAGACTTTAATAGTCATAAAGTTCTTAGATGGGGTGAATAAGTGGTCGAACGTATTTAAATTTGAGTAATGCTAAGTATATCAAATTTGGTTAAATGTTAATAAAACTCTAAATTGTTCTCCAATGTTCCATTGTTTTCTTTTGAATTATTCAATTCAAAGTTAGAAATAAACACGAGTTTGCAAAGATGGCAATGCAGGACGCTGGTGGACAACAGCAGCGTGTGTAAGGTGAGGAAAACTGTAAATTATAATCTTTTACATGTGAAAAAACTCACACTCTGAGTCGAATAAAGGATCGAACATGCATAAACTGACCAGACTTGAGATATCCCTTCAGACTCACCCTATATATGGAGTGATCAAATTAATCCACCTGCCATCACATATCAGTCTCTTGTCTGGCTCATTTACAAGTATATGATCACTATGACTCAATCCCGGTAATATAAATTGCTCAAGTGGTCCATCCATGAAAGACGACCTCTGCAGTAATTAACTGCAGCCTAGTAGTGGACATTAGCTTCTGTATAGCTTGATTCACGACTCTCAAGTTCCAGGAAGATTTGCATATGAAAACACAAAGCATGCAAAAGATATGGTGGAAATTGCATGGCCACACACTTTATATCATGCTACGCACCCTGCAGTCTAGTAGTGGACATTAGCTTCTGTATAGCTGGAGATCACGACTCTCAAGTTCCAGAATGATTTGCATATGAAAAACACAATGCATGCAAAAGATTTGGTGGAAATTGCATGGCCACACACTTTATATCATGCCATGCACCCCAATGAACGAAAAAGACTTGCATGACACAAGTTTATGTCATATGGCATTCTGTGCCAACAATATAAGAACATATGTTAGTTGTTTTCTAGGAAAAATTAGTTTCCGATCCTTAGTTTCTAATATTCATTGACTAAGACCTTATCAGTTTTTAGATTTTGATCAAAGTCTCTAGCATTAATATATTAATGAATTACATGTAAGTTACATAATTTTTATAAAAAAAATTAGTAATTGATTTAGAGTTTTAATATTCACACCCGTATTAAACTCCTAATTAATTTTCAATTCAAGCATTTCCCAAATATAAAAAATAAAATTAGAATAAGTTTGTAACCATTAAATTTTTATAATTTTTTTATAATTTTTTAATCTTACATGTATCCATTCTTAAATATACCAATTTGTTCAAAATGTACCTTTTTTTAATTTAAAATGTACCCATTTTTTATATAAAATTTCATTCAATTTTTTCTCTAATCCATTTTTTAAACTTATATGGGTACATTCTATTCCATTGATTTGAGAATGTATCCATGTCAAGTTTAATAGAGAAAATTTAATAATGTTATTAAGCCTAATATCTTCTTCTTCTTTTTTTTTTTTTTGTGCTTTTGAAAAATGTACCCATGCTTTGGTACAATAATTTTTTTGTTAGTTTTGATGAACATACCTACACACACACACACACACACACACACACACACATACACATACAATAAATTGGAGAGTATAATTCATCTTTAGTATTTTTAATCCCATAAATTATGGGTTTTTATTTAAAATCTCATTAATATAAATAACTACAAATTTCATTTTTAATTTAAAAATATAATAACCTACATAGAAATACACTATTACATTAATGTCAAGGATTTCGATCAAAAACTAAAAACCACCAACGTTTCAGTCAAAGAACATTAGTAGTTAGGGACCGCATCCAAAGTGTTCATTTTTTCTACATGTCTTTATGTTATTAGTATGGAATGCCACCATAACGGTGAATCTGTCATACAAGTTGTTCTCCTAATGCACGCATGAATAACATTGTTAATTAAAGATTAGGTAGCTTATTGGTTTATTTGTTCATATGTATTCTCAAAACTTAAAATGTGCAACTGAGCCTGCAACGTTCATGAATAACATTATATTGTTAACTAAGGCTTTTTAGCCAAACTGATCTTTGAGATGGCATGACTCTTCACTTCAGTCCTGAGATTAAAAATCAACATGACTAGCCCTGAGTTTGTCCACTATCAATCATTTTAGTATTTCGGTGAAAAATCTCCATTAAATAAGAAGAAAATTACGAAAATACTCTCAATTTTTTGTCAAATCATTTTGGCCAATTATTTATTAAATTAAGGATATTTTTATCATTTTGATCCTTATTTAATAGATATTTTTTCGAAATGACCAAAATGATTGACAGTGGACAAACTCAGGAACCAATTATATCAATTTCAAATTCAGGGACCAAAGTGAGGAATTATGTCTATTGATGCACAAAATTGGAGGGGTCTTGGAACAACAGAAAGTGTTTAAGTTTGTGACCTTCGCTAGATTGCTCCGGTCACTAGTGTGGATAAGTATGTAAATGGACAGGGACAGGGAATCAAACACAAGATGTATACGTGGTTCATCCAGATTGGCTACGTTCACGAAGTAGAGGAGTTCTCATTAATTGTGAAGGGTTGACACAAGTACATAGGTTCAAGCTCTCCTTTAGTGAGTACTAGTGAATGATTTAGTACAAATGACATTAGGAAATATTGTGAGAGAATGATCTCTATTTATAGAAGAGAGTTTCTAGTTTCATTCTCGTGTCGTGTTTGACACGTTCGTGTTGACTGTGATGGCTTCTGATGTTGACACGTGTCGCACTGTGATTGGCTTGGTCCCTAGGTGGAGGGAAACTTTTCTGGGTCCTTGACCGGTATAAAATTGACGGTGCTCAGTAGTTTTGGGATTTCAAGTATGGTTATAAACAGTGTTGCCCTAAGTTCCCGAGTGAGGGAAGCTCCTCGGTTGGGGACTTGCAAGATCCAAGCCATTGAGTAATCACGAAACTTCTAAGTACCAAA